GATGGTAAGGAGCAGGGAGCCTCCTGCCCAGCTGGGTGCCAACGTGCGCCCCTGGCAAGAGCCCCGCGGCACTTCCTGCGCCCCCAGAGGCCGGTCCTTCCCTAGGGCTGTCCTCCTGGTGCTGCCCTGGCCCTCAGGGACCTGCGCCCACCCTGCTCCATCAGGTGAGGCCGAGTGAGCGGCTCTCGGTGCCCTGCCTGCCAGAGACGCGTGGGACCGAGGCCCTGGTGCTTCCTGGGGCAGGAGTGAGGAGCCCATGCAGAGCAGGAGCCCCAGGACCTCCTCGAGCCAAGCCAGGAGGAGGCCTGTCCCCCACGTCCCCCAGAAGACAGAGGGGTCTACGTCACAAATCGTAGGTGATTTTCAAAAAAGTTACTGGGACCAAAAAGTTTGCTGTGACCAAAATAAGTGACAAGGACAACGGAGAGGAGGAAAAGTCTGTTTTGTCACAGCGTCAGAGGCTCAGTGCCCGGCAGGCTGGCCCCCAACTCTCGCCTGAGTGGGGGCACAACGTCATGGCAGAAGGGCGTGGTGCAGGACCGCAGCCTGGAAGCACAAGAGGACTCGGGACAAAACCTAAGCCCTCGTGACCTCCTCCTCAGCCCCAGCCCCACCGGGGCAGTACCCTTTCCAAATCGCTCATCCACCAGAGGTCACAGCTCTCACGACCTCATCCTGTCACCCCTGAACTTCCTGCACCGTCACCCACCAGCCCGTGGGGAGCACCCAATATCCACTCACAACAGTGACCCCACTGTCGTGTCAGAAGACAACTACGAAGCTGGGTTGCAGAGCATTTAAGAAGTTCAGAGATAAAAATATGAAAATGAAGGCCATGATTGTGCATTAAACAAACAAACAAAGAACTTTAAGTTTTGCGGTCTTTCTTTAGGCATTTGTCTGATCTACATCTTGGAACAGGTATTCATAGCATCCATCAAAAATGGCAGCCCACTTTTTAAATGTAAGACTCCGCCTCCTGCTTGTATCTTCCACCTCACTTTCCTTCCTATGGTACAATCTGTTTGGCTAAGACCTCAGTATTGATTCAACGACTTGGGGAACGTTCCTCGTTTTCTAGTCTGCGAGGCTTTTGTGGGTGTAGGGCAGTTTGCTCATTTAATGGTTAGCAGAAGACATTCCTAAAATATTCTGGGCCTGATAGATACTTCCTCGCGTGTTACCTCTGATACAATTTTAATTAATGCTGTGTTGTCCTAAAAGCAATTTAAGCTGGAAGATGTGACGCAGAAGGACCTCCCTCCACCCAGAGGAGGCTTCTAGAAAGAACATGATGTGTGACAGTGACAGTGCCATGTGCCAAGGGGTGTCCTCCTCTGGACACCTCGGGCTGCTGCACGTTCTTCTCTCTCCCACGGGGAAACCAGGCACGGGGAACCCGGAGCCCTGGGTCGCGGTTACAGGCAGAGCCCGGAAATGAGGCCCGGCGATGCGCTCGCCCCTGGGCGCTCTCTCCTCAGGTTGCTGACCCCAGGTGCCGGCACCCAGCGGCTTCCGGAGGACACCCAGTGCTGAAGGAAGTCAAGGCTCCTGGGGTGACGGCCCAGTGTGACACGGGACAGCACTTACGAGGGCACGGCACGTGAGTTCCAGGATACTGGAAAGAAAGCCTTGGAGTCAGAGAGGATGAATAAAATCCTGCCTTCTGCAGAGATCAGAAACGGGCCCCAGGAGACCCCGCGGCCTCTGGTTGTGTGCTGGGTGCGTGGAGCCCTGCCCTCTGGGCATCGCTGAGCCCAGAGCAGAGGGCCCCCGGTTTCTGGTACCACTCAGTGTCTAACTCCCATCACTCTTTGTTTGAGTCCCCTCTCCAGAGACCACCAAGGAACAAAAAAGTTTTGCTTAACTCCCGAAGCGAGAGTCAAGGGGACAGTGGGCACCAGGAACACTCTCCCCCAGGAGTGCAGAGTCCTGCGCAGGCCTGGGCTTCTGCCCCTGGATCCCAGAGGCAGACTGGACACTATCAGGCCCTGAGCTGCTGCTCAGAAGGGGCCATCCAGCTGTGGACCCCTTGGCCACTCAGTCTGGAGCAGGGCCTGCTGCGGCTGAGGAGGCCAGGCAGAGCTGGCCACTGTGACCAGTGCGGATCTGGTCTCTCCTGTTCAGACTTGCCCTGCGTGACTCACCTGAGGGAGGGAGAAGGGTGGGGGTCTGCTCCTCCCCAGTCCTGGGTCGGCGGAGGCAGAGTGCCAGGGAGAGAGGACCCGCAGGGGACATGGACACAGTGGACCTGGTCACACGGGGAGGCCCCCACCACCCACCCCGTCACAGCTGCCCCTGCCCAAGCACAGGACTGGCAGGATCATAGAAGCCCTGGTCACGCAGAGGTGCTTCCCCCAGCCTGGACACGGGACGGGCTCTCAGGTGGTTGGCACTGGGCATGGGTGCAGCAGGACCTCTCCGTCCCTGCACATGGGGAGGGAGGAAGAGGAAGCCTCATTTTCAGAAACCAGCTGATGTGATTGCGGTGACCTGGACATTGGAAGGTCTGAATTCTGCAGGGCGGGGGTGGATGGACATCCCGGCCCAGCAGACGGAGAAGCTCAGGGTGGGGTGGCGGCAGAATTCCCCTCTCCCTGGGAGCCGGGGTCCGCTCTAATCCTGGACGGCTTGCATGAGGTCCAGCCTCACTGGGGAGAGCGGTCTGCTTCACCCCAAGTCACGCGCCAGTGTCGTCTGACGAGGACCTCAGCAACACCCAGAGCAAGCACTGGCACTGAGTCAGCAAGGTCGCAGCCCAGATGACCTCCTCAAACTGGAACTCACGTGCCCACGCAGACCCCACGGATCTACCTGCCAGAAGTCCCGCAGGCTGCCCCCAAGCACAGGGTGGCATGATGGCAATGTCCCTGGAGCCAGGTCCCTGAGCTGCCCCACCGGGCACCCCTGGGTCCCAGCCGTCTGCCACACCTGCCGCAGGCTGAATCCTGCGCCTGACACTCCTGGGTGCTCCTCTGCTGCACCCAGACGCTCTCCAGCCCCCTCCGGAGCCGCTGGACCTCGACCCCAATCCCCACCCCCACCGCCTGCGCTAAGTCACCTTTTATTTCTACGCCGCCTCCTTGTATCAGACGGGACTTTCCTGAGGGCAGCAACGGTGTCTAGTTAGCTTTTGTTTTCAAATGTTCAAAGCAATAATCCAGCACGGTGTTCAGTGAATCTTTAATAGTGCAAAAATGTACACAGTAAAGAAAGAAAGAAAGAAAGAGCGCTTCACCCAGCCTCAGTAGGACCAGAGGACACACTCCAAACAGCAAAGGGGGCCACTCGGGTGATGGGCACGAAGAGAAGTAAAGCAATGGTGGTGGAGAGAGAGAGAGAGAGAGAGAGAGAGAGAGAGAGAAGAAAGAAACCTCTCTCTCTCTGCTACTGGGAATGGAACCCAGAGTTAGTTATTTTGAGACAACATCTTGCGAAGCTGCCTAGTGCCTTGCTAAGTTGCTGAGGCTGCCGGCCTCAAACTTGCAATTCTCCCACCTCAGCCTCCCCAGCTGCTGGGATTACAGGCGTGGCTACCATATCCACTATTTTCTTTAACTCAAGTAGGTCAGAGATGTTGGCTGGTTCTCTGTGTAAAGCCTTTTCCTTTTCAGTTCTCTGTGAACTGTGCATGTGTGAACACCTGCATGTGTGTTCAGATCTGTACGGGAGCTTCACATGCACCGATTCTGTTTTTGAAGCTCTTGGTTTTGGGAATTACCTACTTCAATTTTTCTGTGTATTTTTTCAATTTTTCTCACAGTATTTATGTGCTTACATTTCTAACATGCTTAAGGAGTCTTTATCCATCCTCTGACACCTCGGTTGATAAATGGGTTCATTCCATGTAACTAACATCAGCATCCGTCTTCCAAGAATCTTAAAAGATGTGGAAAATTTTCCCTCAGAAAATTCCTGTAATGGAAACCATCATGCATGACTCGGGGCCTGCGAGCTGGGGAGGAATGGGGCCTGTTCCTGGAAATCTCATCTCCAGAGCTGGGCTCCTCCTGGGCTCCCAGGGCCCCTGTCTCTTGCCTTCTCGTTCCCAGGGAGCCCCATGTGGAAGGCCGGGAGGCTCTGCTTTGCTCACTGTGGATGGCAGGTGTGCGCCCAGCAGTACCCCCATACCCGGGGCGCCCAGGAGGCTCCCCGCAGCGGGTCTGGTGGCCTGGGCTCAGCACTTCCGGGACCTCGGGGGTCTCTTTCTGCAGCTTTGGCCTTGGTCTAAGTGCTGAGACCCTGAAGGAGCACCGCCGGCTGCTGCGATGAAGTGACTTGATTAAGATAAACGCCACCAGTGACACGATACTGCACATGTCCTTACAGGTTTGTTCACACTTGAAACATTCTGGGGCCTGACGTTCTCTTTCCATGTAAAACTCCGGTTTGAAATGCAACAGGATCTGAATTTGCACACCACCTCAGTCTGAGCCGAGGCCACTTGAAGAGTTCTGGTTGGGGTTTGCGGACTGAGCAACGCGGAACATCTGTTTGGAGCGTGAGAAGTGCCTCTGTTGGGCTGACTGAGTTCCTTTTGACGCGCCCGGAGCAGAACTGAACATCAGGCGGAGTTGCCCAGCGGAGGGCCAATCAAGGCCACCCTCCTCCGGTCCCCAGGTCCAGGTGACTCATGTGCCGATTTCCTTTCTGCTACGCAATGAATCTTTCCTAAAAGAAAACCAGCTGAGGTCCTTCACGCCCACTAAATTAAATGGAATTTCAAGCCCCTGTGTTAAAAGTCTGTTTCTAAAATGGAGCCCTCAGGATCCATCTGGATCCCATCTGTCCCCAGGCTCTGAGGCCACGGCATGAAACCTCACACCCTGTCCCCTGTGCCTCGGTGGACCCGGGCTGACTGGGGGAAAGGGAAGCCCCGGCTGGGTTTGTGCTGAGATGGAGGGCCAGGCAGGGCGGGCTCCGCTGCCGGCGGTGAGGGCCCCTGAGGGGAGGACCTGCCCTTCCAACACAGTCCCCTGAAATGGCCGTGTCTCATCTCCGCCCAGATATGGTCAGCAGGCAGCTTGGGCGGCTGTCACAGACCTGTGCCCAGCGTCACAGGGCCGAGTCACCCCCTGGAGTGCTCTGCCCCCTGGAGTCCCACAGGTGCACCCTGCTGAGAAATGGACGCTACTGCTAATTCTAGAAGAGGCCCATCACCAGGACAGCTGTACCCCTCCACTCTCCTGTCCACAACCAGGAGCCCAACCGTCCTTCTGGAGAGTCCACAGCCTGGCGTCCACGGGCCTTGACACACTCCCTGAGTGGACATTCCCACCACTCACCCTGTTGGACAGTCTCCTGAGAGAGCGGTGGAGACCCAGCCTGGCCGGGAGGACTGTGCTTGCTGGGCTCGGGGTCTTGGGCTGGCCACTCTTCCGGGGCACTTGACCTTGAGGCTCTGACCTTGAGGCTCTGGTGCTGGTGAGGCCTGCCGACGGCAGCAGCACCAGGCCCACGGCCGGCCCCGGGCCCTGCTCCTCCAGCCCAGCTTTGCCAGGACGTCTCTATCCGCTGCTCACCTACTTGTCTGGCTGTGAACAGATCTTCATGGATTCAAGGTTTCACCCATTTTATAGGAAAAGCTCAAGATTTTCCATTAAAAACTGGCTTTGAAAATGTCCAGCTACCAAGGCTGGCCACTACCCTGCCTGGAGTGAGACCTGCGTTTCTGTTTAGTAAGGAATCCATGTCAAAAAGCACAGGGACCCGCCACACACCGCGGTCCCAGGCCACAGCTCCAGCTGGGCCTGCAGCGCCCGCCCAGTCCCAGAGCTGCGGCCGCGGGTCTCAGCATGCAGCCTCTCCTCTTCCCGAGGCGGTTGCCCCCGGAGCTGGGTGTGTGCCCTGGTGCCTCTGGAAGTGCTGAGAGCCTGGTCACAGAGCACGAGGCTGTGGGGGGGCACAAGAGGGAGGCTTGCCCTACCTGGCCTCCATTCTCAGCCTTCCCTCCTCTTCCCTTCCCTCTCCCCTGGGACCAGGTCACCATGGAGCCAGCAGTCTCAGCCCCCGTGCAGGGGCGACCCTTGTCTGCAGGTGAGCCCGGGAGGTGGGGGGCACAGCACTGTCACCTCGCCCCCCCCCTCCTGGCTTCTGAAGGGGCCCTTTTCTTCCGGGTGCCTGGCGGCTGCGGGTGTGAGGCTTAGCAGACGCGGGAGCTGCCTCGGCTGACGTGGGCAGAGCGGGCGCCAGGTTCTGCCAGCTGCCCCTCCTCAGCTCTGGCTGCCTGCACGGTGCTGCCACCCTGGCCCAGCAAGGAGCCCTCTGCGGACCGCACCTGGCAGGCCTCTCGCAGGTCCCAGGGAGCCATGGAGCGTGTGGCTCCTGCCACAGCCTCCGCCACGTGGGGCCCCCAGCTGGTCTGCACAGGCCCAGCAGGTGGGCTCCTCCTGGCTGCCCAAAGGGCTACAGACCCTTCCACACCCAGCTCTGGCGTCCCCTCTCCTGACCCTGCGTCCTCTGCGGGCCAGCGACAGCTGAAGCAGTAAGTGACTGCTGAGTTCTGCAAAGAGAGGCCGTGGACAAGGCGGGAGTGACCTCTCAAAGGGCCGGAGATGGAGGGCCCCACCTGGGGACGGCGGAGCCGGGCAATACCAGGCCCGAAGACAAGAACGTACCGAGGCGCTGCGGGTGCAGGGAACCATGCCACCACCAGTGGGAGGTCAGTGAAGGACACACCCCAGAAGGGGACCGAAGGTCTGCAGAGGGAAGGGAAGGGGAGGGGTGCCCAGAGTGTGGGCCATGAGCCACCCATGGCCCAGGACGGGAGCCGGGGCAGCTCCTGGGGAAGGCCCCGGGGCACTGACCCACAGGCCCAGTGGCGGAAGAGAAGGAGCACAAGAACAGGTGCAAAGGTCCTGAGGCCCAGGTGGCCCAGTGGCGGAAGAGAAGGAGCACAAGAACAGGTGCAAAGGTCCCAAGGCCCAGGTCCAGGGCCCCGCGGACAAGGCTGAAGTCACAGAGGCCTTTCAGGATGATCCGGCCTGACTCGGAGGGTCAGGGTGTCCCTCTTTGACGATCAGCAGAGACCGCGTGAGCTCGGTGCTGACCCTTTACACGCCTGTCAGTCCCCCAGTGAAGTCGCAGCCTGGAGATGGAGTTGGGGACCTGGGCACAGGTCAGTGCAACGTCTGCACAGCTGCCCGTCACTGGTCATCAGGTGGGGTCTGTGTGCCTGGCTCTTAAGGAACTGGTCATTCCTCTAAGTCGTCGAATCCTTGAGCCTAAATCGGTGGGTCCTCCTGTTTCCCTCTTGGCCCCTGGAGGTCCTCAGGGACCCTCCTTATGTACTCCTGACCCTGCAGACTGCGGCCTCTCTTCCTCCCTCCCTCCCTCCTCCCTCCCTCGGGTCAGTCTTACTAGAGTCTGTTCCTTTACCTGATTCTCTAAGAAGCATTTTCTTTTCACTTTCTATCCCCAGGTCCTTGATTTCTGCTCTTGAGAATTCCCTCTGATCTACTTACTGAGTCCGTTCTGCTTTCCTGACCTCTTCAGGTAGCAACTGAGATCACCCATGAAGGGTGCAGGGTCACCCCACTCCCTCTCCTGCCCCTCTCGAGCTGGACTCCACACACTTCGAAATCCTCCCTCCCTCCCTCCTACGTGTGTTCTGCACACTGATCTTGACTTCAGACCTGGGCAGGGCTACGTCGCTGCGGACTTCCCTGGGCTTACGGTCACCGATTGCTCGTGGGTTCCTGAGCACAAATTGGTGTTTCCTCCTGCATTCTTCTCCTTCTGGTTAAGGTTGGTTCTGCGACACAGATATGAGTGAGATTTTCCTTGCGGCAGTCACGTGGACACTTGTCAAAGTGCCCACTCTGTGAATGTTCTGCTCTGTCCACCAGATATTGCTGGTCCACCTTGATGCTCAGACTGGTAGGTCCTGGCTGCGGTCGACGCTGGTTCCGTCAGTTCCAGGACCATTCTGGGACTTGCCCATTTCTCCTTGCGGCCCTCTCAGGTCTTGACCCATGTTTTGAGCTCTGTTGCTTGGTGCAACACACTTGGGGTCACTAGCATTTCCAAGTGGATTGATCCTTCCACCCTACATGTAATGTCCCTCTTTGCTCAGCATTATTATTATTATTATTATTATTATTATTATTGCTCTTAGTTCTACTTTGTAGTTATCAGCTGCCTCTTTTTTAAAAAAATTCAGTGCTGCACACTGTATCTTGCTTCATCCTACTTTCAAGCTTACTGTGCCCCTGAGTTTGAAGTGAGTTTCCCTCAAGTGTCTGTAGCTGGGAGGATTTTCTTTATTCACTCGGCAGTCTGTGACTTTTGATTGGCACATCTAGACCACTTACATTTAGTGTACTATTTAACATTAGTGCTCATCTCTGCCATTTCACTGTTTGGTTTCTGTTTGTTTCCTCTGTTTCTCAGTCCTCTTCATCATCTCCTCCTCCTTTGTGATATTTCAACATCATTTCGGGATTCCGTCTTGATTCATTGATGGTATTTCTGTTTGTCATTTTCAGGGTGGCTCTTTTTGATATTGCAACCGATGGCTTATCACAGTCTGCTGCACCAACAACATCGCACTTGGAGTAAAATCTCACTTCCTGGTCCCTTTGTCTTCCCTCCAGTTAAACAAGATCCATTGATTATCAGGGGCAGTGGGTTTGGGTTATAATAATCAAACATGATTCAAAGAGCCTGAGAGGACACAAGTCTCGATGGCACTTCTGTCCCTACCCTCCCTGTGGTCCTTCCTCCATCCTGTTGCTGGAGACGTGGTCGGGGCAGCTTTTTCAAGCCTCAACCAACAGACCTGACGGGAACAATTTTAAGGAGGGAGTTGATTTGGGCTCAGGTCTCAGAGGTCTCACTCCGTCGATGGCCTCTCATCTGGGACCTGAGTGGCCCACATCGTGCAGAAGAGTGAGGCCGAGGGAAGCAGCGGGTCAGGGCACCAGGAATCGGAGGGGGCTCTTCTCAACAAGGACAAGATGTGAACCACGGCACACCCCGGGCCACCTCCTGCAGCACAGCCCCTGCCCACGGTCACCCCCGTTCCTCCCTGTCAGGGGACGGGCGCACTGACCAGGTGAGGGCTCCCCTAGCCCAGTCGTCTCTCCTCTGAACCTTCCTGCGTCCCTCCCACCTGAGCCTCTGGGGACGCCTCGCATCTGCACGTAACAGGATGTGGTCCAGGGGTGTGCTGGAGCCGGCTCAGTCTCCTGGCCGGCCCCAGGCTGGGCCGCGTCTCTGCACCCCTCCCTGGACACCGTGGCAAGCAGGTTGACTCCTGGGGCCGCCCTTGGGTTCCTGGAATTCTGCGCGTTTTCCTGGGTCCTTTTCTCTGGCCGTGGGCTGGGTGGGTGCTATTGACCTCCTGAGGTCACAGACTGTCCTCTGTCATGTCCATGTCAGTTCTCCGCGGAGCACATCCGGAGAGTGTTTTTGGCCCCTGTACTTGAGTCGTCTCTACGACTTCTTTGTGCTTGCTGGGATTTTCCATGTTTCCATTGATCTCAAGAGAATATGACTGATGCCCTTCTTCCTGTGAGAGCTGCGTTGGAGCCCCTGCTGGACAGCGGGGAACGCGTCCCCTGGCCTGGACATGCCTTCAGTGTCCTTCCTCACACAAGCCGTCCTTCCCTTGCCTCTGTCCCTGAGGGTTTCTCAGACCTGGTGCACAGAGCTCCTTCCATGGCCCAAGAAGGACGCTAGTTGTCCCACCATGGTGACCCTCAGACCCTGAGCCCTCTGGGGAGGGGGGAGATTCCAGGCCTCTGGGTCAATTGTGCTGGTGTGCTGTCAGCCGTGGACCCAGCCGTGACCTGACCGTCCCCACCCAGAGGCTCCGTGCTGCTCCTGGGGCTGTTCCAGCCTCAGAGTCCAGGCTTCTCACTGGGAGGGTCAGGGAGAGGCAGCCGGCCACCTTGTAGAGAACAGGTGTCCTGTTCTAGCTCCACCCTTACAGGACACTGGATGGACAGTGAAGAGGACAGAGTGGACAGGAGGGAGACCCCGACTCCTGCACGCGGATGGAGTGCGCCCAGGCTAGGAGCTCGGTTTCCTCTCACCCTGGACCCCAGAGCCAGCCCCTCCTGTCCCCCAGGCCCTGTGCCCCTTCCTCACTTCAGCCTCAGCACAGAGACCCACCCTCTCCCTGACCAGCTCCCACGGCAGGTCCTCGCCTGGGAAACACGCGTCTGCCCTCGGCCCCGGTGCGGTAGGCAGACCCCAGCCACCCGCCCCCGCAGTGGGTGCTGCCCAGGGGAGGGGAGCTCCCAGAGAGCCCCGCCCTCCTGGCCCAGGCCCTGGAGCCGCCCGAAACCCTACTCTGGTCGGCCTTCCTCCAGCGTCCACCACGATGACCTGGCCGCTGCTCAGGGACACTACCTGACCGGGTCTTCCCTGGCCCCCATTGCCCCAGAGGACCCATGCACGGGGACAAGGCTCTGCGCCTCGGCCGCCCAGTGGCCTCTCTGTGGTGATGTCAGAGCCTGCTCCTGTCCTGCAGCCCGTGGACGTCCAGCTCCCCCAGCCTGTGTGTCCCCAAGGCGGACCCTCCTGCAGCCTGTCCACAGGATGGGGCAGCTGAAGTGGCCGTCGTCCTCGTCCTCCTTGGTCCTCCTTGGTCCTCCTTGGCCAAGGTCAGCAGGGGCTGTTCCTCCAGAGGCCACAGGCCCCCTAGTGGGCTGGCAAGGAACCGCAGCTCTCAGAGTCAGGCCCAGGCTCCCATGGCCCAGCCCTGGGGTGTGTCCTGTGCCTGGAGTGCCCTCCAGGTTCTGAAGCCCCCTGCCCAGACTTTGGAGACCACCAGTTATCGGTGGCGAGTCCTGCTCCCGACGTGCGTGGCGCCACAGGCGCCAAGGCAAGGAGGTGAAGCTGGTTTAAAAAGGGTCCCAGACTTCTCCCGGGGGGAGGGCCAGAGCTGGTGTCCTGGTGTCCAGAGCCGGGTGTCCTCTGCCCCTTTCATAGTCCTGGGTCTCCTTCGTCCTCCTGCCTCTTCCCCATCCCTCTCCCTCCTGACCAGGCCCAGGCCATGCCCAGTGGGATGGCCACAGGAGGGCCAAGCTGGAGTGGCCTGGCAGGAAGGGGCGTAATGAACGCCCTGGAGGGGGGACAGTCCCTGGGGCAGGTCAGCTTAGCAACCGGTTGGGGCAGGGCAGCGGAGGGAGGTTCTGAAGGAGCGGGCACCCCTCCTCTCTGGACGGAAGGACCCCTGCCCACTGCCTGCTTCACTTCCCACCTCTCCTCCTCCTGACAGAAGCCGCGACGCGGCCTCCCGCTCCCCGCGCTCACTCACTCCCGTGTTTACAGGGAACAGGGAAGGCAAGAGCCCGTGGAGGGGCCGGAGCCTGAGGAAGCTGCGCTGCAGACCTGACAGGAAGCCCCGGCCTCCACGCCGTTCCTCACGGGTGCAGTGACCTGCTGTTGGCGGGCTGCCTTTCACCTTGGGGGCAAGGAGACAGCACCAGCAGGAGGGCAGCTGGACTGCCCAGGGCCCGGCAGCTGGAGAGTCGGACACTATTAGGAGAAGTCACTCCACACCGTAAAGTTTTGTCAACTTGAAACTCAGGTGCTCCTTCGCGTCACCGCAGAGAGGCATTCACTGGAGCCCCGGGCGGGAGGGAGGTGCGCATCCCCAGCACCCGGCCAGGGGTGTTTCCCTAAGTCACAGAGACTGACCGCCGTGCGCTGAGGCCCTGACTCCTGCAGCCCGGGTCCAGGACCAGCCCCCATTTGACAAACCTGAACTACGACCGTTAACTCTCTGTCACAGTGGCCCAGCCATCCCTGGGCACTGGCGTCCTGCGTCCTGTGCGACACATTCTGAGCCACCCCAGGGCGGGAGCTGGGGACACCCGGCTGCTGGGCCGCCCTCCCTCCACATCTGCAGCTTGGCTCCTGGCTTTGTCGTCTGGTTACGCAACTTTGTTTTGCTGCTTGGACTTCCGTTCCCATGACCGAGGCTGGAGCTTCTCAGTCTGGGGACGCGTGGTGCCAGGGCCCAGGCTCCGCACTGACTGCTGTTGGCGCGCCCTGGCCCTCCTCCGCCCTCCTCCGTGTCACAGGTCCTCCTGAGGCAGGATCTCCTGCTGCTGCAGAGCAGCGGGGGCCTGGGGCCTGGCCTGGTGGGTGCAGATGGGGGTCGGTCCACACACGTCGGAGGCCCCTTAGCTCCGTGCCCCGCCCACCTCTCTAGGCATGGGCCTCCACCAGGGCACTTCGCGTGCCAGCCCCGGGGCAGCCTGGGCTCCCTAGTGGAGCGTCCCCCGGGTAGCAGTGCCCAGGCCAAGCAGGGCTGAAGAGAAGAAGGAGCCCAGCTCACCTGCAAGCCGCAGGTGCCAGGTGTGAGGACAGAGCCACTGACCCTGCCCTCCTCCTGGGCACAGGCTGTCTGCAAGCCCTGCCCAGGCCCCCATCCTCTGTGTCCCTCTCCAGGCCTGTCCTCCTGCCCTGGGCCCAGGGCTGTGGGTGGCCTCACCTGCCTGGCCCGCAGGCCCTGTCCAGGCCCATCCCTCTCCCTCTCACCTGCCCTGTCCTTCCCTCCTCACACCTGAGTCCATGGAGCAGCTCTGCACCACTTACCTCCACCCCAGGAGCTGCGCTGGGCCAGGCCTCGCTGTCCGTCAGGCCAGACTCTCAGCTGCACCTCCCTGCTGAGAGCGGAGGCCGACCACAGGGGCAGGAAAGCCTGCCTGCCCAGGTTGCACACTAGGTAGCTCAGAGGGTCGGAGCCGCGGTTCACGGCCAGGCGGCCTTGGCAAGAAGCCTCTGGTCCCAAGGAGGGGCCGAGGCTGGCTTGTGGGGTCTGCCCGGCTGGCGGGAGCTCGGGGGCCTGGCTCTCCACACACTCAGACTCCGCCTGCTGCCTTCAGCTGGAAGAAACCACCTCGACGTCTCCTGCAGCTCTGAGGCAGGACTTCACTGAACTGGGAATGTCTGCATCGCGTCTGAAAAATAAATCGCACATGTTTGAAGCATGGTCTAGAGAATTCTTGATTTATATTTACGCATTATATAGACAAATATATATACGATATGCATGTATCTAACACCCACATGGAGACACACTTCCATCAACCCAGTCATCCCTTCAATTAGCAAGCACCAACCTGATTTCTTTCACAGTAGCTTTAATTTTCTAGAATTTTATGTAAGTGGTCTTTTAGTACATGCTCTTTCTTGGCTTCTGTCTGGCTTCTTTTAATTCATGCAATGATTTTGTTTCATTTTTCACTGCAGAGTATTCCATTGCATGAGAATCATACAGTTTCTTTATCCACTTACCTCTTGCAGACATTTAGATCAGTTTGTATGGCTGCCTAGTACTCCTCTGTAGGAGGATATTGTTTCCCTCTTGATGGACATTTGGATTTTTACTTTCTGGTTATTATAAATAAAAATCGATAATATAATCTAAATACTTGTGCTACAGGTATCTTCTTCTGGGAGTAGATTAACCAGGTCACATGGCAGGTGTGTTTAATATTTTATAAGCTTGTCAAACTGTTTTTGAGAAGTGTGCAAGCGTTTGAGCTGCCGTCCGTCCTTGCCAACACTTGTGTGGTCACGTTTCACAGCGTGGGCAGCAGCACACCTGGCTCATGCCCTTGGCCTCGCCTGCCTTCCCTGGGCCTGGTAACGAGCACTCTGTGCAGTGGCCCACCGTCTCTCCTGGTTGGAGCATCTCTCGGTCCATGTTCCTATCATTGCATTGTAAGTTATTTATTTACTAAGAAAAAAGTCATTTATCAGGTATTTGATTTGCAAATATTTCCCTCTAGTTTATGAAATCATTTTAATTGGGACTTTGGAAAGCAAAGGGTATCATTTTTATGTTTTCATTCATAATTGTATAATCTTTTGTATTTCCATTAGGAAAACTTTGACAAACAGAAGATCATTAATTATTTCTTTTACTTTTTTCTATAAAGACTATTAACCAGGAAATACTGATATTTGTGGAAGTCTCTACCAAAGAGAAACATTTTTTATACTTTTAAAAAGACTAACAACCAAAAAAGAAAGTAAGAACTTTTGATAAATTAAAAATATTTTTAACTAAATCAAAATTTAAAAAGAGCATAAAATTCTGTAAGGTAACTCAAAAGCTAGAGGGGATTTAGAATATTAAAAGCTTATATCAGAAAATGAGAAGCATCCCAAATCTGTGAGGCTGCAGTACTGTTCAGATCTAGAAGGTTCCCCAAAAGCCCAGGTGCACAAGTTTGGCCTCCAGGTAGCAATGCACAGAGGTGAGACTTTGATGAGATGGTGGGACCTGGAGCCGGGCCTCATCTGTGGACCAACTCAGTGGAGGGTACCTAACTGGAATGGCCTGGCTGGGAGGGGTGGGACTTCCGGGAAGGGTGGGACTTCCGGGAGGTGGTGGGACATCAGGGAGGTGGTGGGACTTCCAGGAGGTGGTGGGACTTCCGGGAGGTGGTGGGACATCAGGGAGGTGGAGGGGCTCTGGGGAGGGGGTGGGGCTCCGGGGAGGGGGAGGGACTTCAGGCTGGGGAGGCAGGGTTGAGAAACAGGTCACTTGGTGTGCCCTGGGGATCATACCTTGCCCCTGGCCTTTCCCTTTCTGTGTCCAGGCGCCATGAGCCGGGCCTCTGCCCTCCACAGGCCCATCTGCCATGATGTGTGGCCTCCCTGGGCCTCGCTGTGGAGTCAGCCATCCACCAACCGAGACCTCTGAGACTCCTCACAGTGACCTTTCCTCCTCTGAATCGTTCCTGGAAGGTGTTTTGGTTACACTGACAACAAATAACACCATCACAAATACCTCTGTGCAGAAATCAAACAGTTTATGTAAAAACCAAAACACGTCTCTGCACAGAAAGGAGCACTTGGAATTTAAAACACCATTTTCAAGGCCCTGGAACAAGTGGATAATCAGCTAGAATACAGCCAATGCGTCCAGGACTTCTGTGACCAAGGCCCCAGAGCATCTGTGTAAGAAGGAGAAAGAACCTAAAGAAATGGAGTCATGCACAGTCGGGGCTCAGGGTTCCTAGGCCTCTGCTGTCCCCGGCCACGTGTCCCCCCTCCAAATCCCAGCAGGTCTCCCGGTAGAAATCAAGGAACTGAGTCTAAACTTCTAGTAGAAAGGGAAGGAATCAGAACAGCCACCATCATTCTGGAAGGACAAAACAAAGACCAACCAAATCCATTTTGGAAACACAAGTTTCTGTAGCTCACGTGACCCATTTTCCAGACTGAACTTCAGCCACAGTAATAAATACAGCGTGGTGTCGCGGTTACAGTGGACACATGGGCCACAGAACGGACTCACATCTCGGTGGACAAGGGAACTGCCAAGGGCAGGCGTTTTCACGGAGAAAGAGCCTCATAAATCCTGGTGTGGAAGCAGCGGGGTTCACAGGCCCCAGGAACCCTGCTACACCTGCTCGCCGGGCAGGTGGGGACCCTCCAGGAATCGTAGCCCCCACGCAGAAGGGCAGACGTCCAGACTCCTGCACGGGCAGGAGAGGGGCCTGTAGACCCACCCGAGCCTGGTCACAGAGGGACTGTCCCTACAACCGAGATCTGGAGTCCTGCAGAGTCTTCTGGGAACCAGAGACAAGATGGCCGGGCGCTGCAGGAGCCACCTGCATGTCACCGGGCCCAGTGCTTCCTGGGTGTCCCTGGGTCCTGACTGGCGTGTCACCCTCGGCTCAGGGGGCACTGCCCCTGGTTGGCACGTGTCAGCTTCTCCCCGAGGCCAGGACACACTCCCCACGTGCTCCCGAGTAGACGGAGAGCTCCTGCCACCCACCACAGGCCTCCGCAGAGCCACCACCGCTTTCCCCACCGCCTCTCGCCACAGACAGCCCGACACCCTTCAGCACGGAGGGACCCAGGAACCGTGGTGCTTTCACACAGCGAGAGCGGCTCGGCAGGGAGAGGAGCCAGCCACGGGTCCCCACGGGCCACGTGGGAGGCCCAGCGGCACCGTCCTGTCCTGGTGCTGAGCCTCAGGACCACCAGAGGGTAAGAAAGACCCAGGAATCCAGGGATGGTGAGATGGGACGAGGACGGTGACACGTGTCCTGCCTGACCGTGAATCTGTCTGCTGGTCTGGCTTTGGTATCCGGAGTGCTGTGCAGAATCTGGTGGTGAACTGCAGGCCGCCTGTGACGGGCCGGGGTGCCCGAGGACCCAGGTGGAACCTCGCGCAGCGCTTCACAGGACTTGCTCTGCACAGCAGGAGTGGCCTCTCTCGGCCTGGATGCGGACCCTCGCTGCCCTTGCAGGAGCAGGTGCTGCAGCAGGTTCATGCTGAGCTGCAGAAGGCAGCAGATGGAAGCGCAGCTGGCCCCCAGCCCCTCTGTCCTCCAGCTAACCACACGTACAGTGAGTGTCCACTGCGTCCTGCTCACTGTTGGATTTTCCCAGGCACTGTTAGTGGTCAGAGATTCACGGCTACAGAAACAAACAGACAAATAAAAAACAGAAAGAAAATGTAACTGAACAGGATCGTGCTCGTTCCCAGTGCCGGAACAAGGGACGGGCGCCGTCTGCAGTCTGGTGGCTGTCGCCAGAGGCTGGGCACCACTCACCTTCGAGGCTGACTTCACTGCACCACGAAGCTCCAGCCACTGGGTCGCCTGCCATCCCGGGTGGCCTCAGTGAGGACAGTTCCCTCTCGCCAGCCCGAGTCCCCATTCTGGCTGCCACAAACTCTCGTGAGAGAGAACTGTCACCGATGTCACTGTTATGTAAGGTATCTGTCCCCGCAGTTTCCAGCCACATGGAGCAAATCGCTTCAGGGTGTTCATGCCTTATAACAGTCTCACAGCCAGTAGGGACAACCTGCCTCGCCCCAGATCCCCCTAGGACACTTCTGCTGGACCCCAACCTCAAAATGCTGTCATTTAAGAAAATGATAAAAAAACGCCTAAACCTGCTGAAGGACCCGAGGCACTGCCGAGGACCCCCAGCCTGGCAGCTAAATCAGACCCCAGGGGCACCTGCATCATCATCATGAGGAAATGTCCAGCAGGGTTGTGAGCCACACCCCGGCAGGAGAGGAGTCCTGGGGGAGACCACTTACAGCAACAGGACAGCGTGCTTCAGACGAAGGACCCATGGGAGGCGTCGGCAGCTTCCACCCAAACCCCCGGAACGTGGCGTGACCGGATCTAAAGATCCCGTGGCCTCATCCAAATGCCTCCGCTGCCCGTTTTCCTGAGTCTTAACTCCTTGCTGGCGTGGGTTCTGGGGTGTCGAAGGCTCTCAGCCTCCTGACTGAGCTGGCGACATGTTCCTGGCCTGACCTTGTCTCCCCGTCACCTCGCGTTTTCAACCTGATTCCTGGTTTCAACATTCTCGGCCCGTTCTAGTGCCAATAGCCAAAGAGACTCTGAGTTTTGTTCCTACTTTCTTTAGATGCTGGCAGGCTCCGGGTTGCAGTGCCTCGTGAGGATGAGTTGGTTTCCCGGGTGTTGTACTCACCTTAAAGGGACATTTTAGATGTAACTTTAGCGTTTGGCTCAAGAAAACTCCGTAAACCAGTTTGCCCAGAGCCACAGTCTGTCAGACTTCTCTCGGATCCACGTGTCGGTGACCTGAGCAAATGTCCAGCTGCCGAGTGGAAGAGCTCCATGATGACGCACTTCCACCTTGACTTCTCTGTGTCCACACACTTGACCGTGACACTCTAAGCCTTTCCCAGTTCCAATCAATCTTCATATTGAGGGTGTCTCGCTGACCTACAGTTTCATCCTGCTTCTGACCCAGGTAACTGAGATGCCGAGTGGAGGTGGTCCTGCTGCGGTCCCTTCACACACTTGGCTTTGCCTGATCGACAAACGAGTGGTCCTGGGTGAGTCGATAACCGACACTTAACCCTGTAAAGTCACCGATTCAGGTTACTTTAGGGCAGAGAGTGAGTCTCTCTTCACTTCTCTTCTGTAGCAGCGACATGAAGCTCTACGGCCCCAGCCTTCCTGGAGACACTTGAAGACACTGGTATCTGAAGTTTCTTAAGAAGCCACAATACACAGTGCTCACTGTCTTCTTTAATTGATTGGTTCTCATAACATACACATCTGTATGTAAAACAGCATTTCTTTTCTGTTTTTCTGAAGTCTTTTCCAGGAAGAAATTGTTAGTCATGTGGGTGGGTATGCACTGAAATATGTGGGTGGTAAGAAAAGAAGGAGTAGAATGATTTCTGAATTTGTAAAAAAAATTGTCACACAAAATCATGTGTGTCTATGGGTACTGTGTGCTATTTTGACACACACAGACATTGTGTAATGTTCAGTTCTGGGTAAGCATGTCTGTCTCTTCAGATTTGACATATGCAGTGCACTGTCACGTCCACATCCACCTGCTGTGCAGCAGGACTCCAGCACTTGCCCCCCACTGTACTGCTGACCAGTCTCTCCCCACCCTTCCCGGCCTCTGGCAATTCCTGTTCCACTCTCAGCTTCTCTAGATCCCCAGTGACGAGATCCTGTGACATTGGTCTTTCAGTGCCTGGCTTATTCCAATACTTTCTGTGTTATCTATTTGACAAGATCAATGAATCCATCAAAAGGTTATTAGAACTAATACACGAATTCAGCCAAGTTGTAAGATACAAAATCAGCGTATTAAAAAATCAGTGGTATTTCTGATTAATTTTGAATTTTCTGAAAAAGTTAGCTAGAAAGAAATTCCATTTATTATAGATTTGAAAAAAACTAGTAATAAATTTAAACAAAGAGGTGAAAGATCTCTATAATAAAAACTATAAAACATTGTTGAAGGTACCTGAAGAGAACAAAAACTAGACGTCCCATGTTCGTGGATTGGCAGGATTCATATTGTCCAAAGGTCCACAATACCCAAAGCAACCCACAGATGCACTGCCATCAACACACAGTGACACTCTTCACAGACCTGGAGGAAGAGAGTGGGATTCATCTCAGAGCACAAAATAGCCAGAGTATCTCGTGCCGAAGAGCAAAACAGGAAGCAAAATAGGACCTGGCTCCGGACAACTGTGCAGCTGCAGCACTCTCAGTGGATGGAAAATACAAGCCACTGAGAAATCCTACAAGTCACCCAAGGTCACCAAGAAGCTTCAAAGTCAGAATTCATGCCTTTTGAAGCTAGGATAAAAACTGGAAAAAAAATTTCAGAAGATTAACCCAAACTCACACAAAACCCAAATATCCGTGAACTTAACAGAATTCATTGAAGAAATCCCAGTATATCTAAAACTATTGCAGGATGTGATAGTGCATGCCTATCATCCTGTGATTTGGGAGGCTGAGGCAGGAGGATCACAAGTTCAAAACTAGCCTCAGCAATTTAGTGAAGTCCTAAGCAACTTAGAGAGATGCCATCTCAAAAATGAAAAATCAAAAAGTCTGGGGATGTGGCTCAGTGGTCAAGTGCCCTTGGGTTCAATTCCTGGTACCAAAATACTAACTACTTAAATACTAAAATCACACATATGCACCTAGGTGAGGGGAGTTAGCATTTTGAAATCTTTATGGAGGGCACTTCCTGCACCTGCAAGCCCAGGTCTTTGTGCCGTCCCCAGAGGAGCCCAGCTTCTTGGCCGTCACAACCCACTGCGCACAGCCTCCCCAAGACAGCCCCGTGGCAACAAATCTGTTTGTGTCTCTGTGGGTTTGCACAGTCTGGGCACTTCCTGGAAAAGGAGTCATGCAATATGTGGTCTTTTCTTTTAATATTTCAAAACTGCCTTGGCCCAAGGCACAAGGCTAACTAACTGCATTTATGGAACCTTTAAAGTACTTTTAAAGAACATTTTTGAGTTACTTATTCTGAGAAGGAGTCGCATACAACATTTTTATGGGAAAAACCTTTCCATAAACAAATCTCTTTTAAAAGCTCAGCTGCTGAAGCCCAGCCTTGCCTACCAGGAGAAACAAACTGAGGATTTGAGAGACACTATTTATGATAAATTTACTGATGGGAAAAACACAAGTCCTTAATTAGTGAGATCCATTTCTGATCATGCTTAAAAAGGCACAAGTTCTGGCACCATTTTGGAAGGGATGGGTGGTGATATTTACTAACTAAGTACAAGGAGACAAATTTCAATACCCAGATGCATGCCAGGCTGGGGGAGCACCTGCCAGGGACCGGGAGGAAGCCAGCTGAAGGCCCCTGGGGTCCCCGCCCCGGCTCCCGGCTCCCCAAGCCCGTTTCCCTGTCAGGATTTTCCCTACCACTTACAGTAATGGAAATGCATCAAATTCACCTCCAAATGGGCAAATGAACTTTCCAGACCTCTTTTCACTAAGCCTAAAATAGCCACCGGAGGGTGTGGAGAGAGCCTGGCCCCATCAAAACCCTCGCTTCAATCTGATTCACTCTTGAATCTCTGACAAGTCACTCCAACTCTCTGGCCCCCGGACTCCTTTTTTTATGAAATACAGGCAAAATTTCAAAACTTTCCGCCTCGTTATAATGATTAATTAATGTAGCCAAACTCTTAGTCTGGGGTCTGGCTCGCTGTGGATCCTTGGTAAATACCATGTGAAGTACTTCCCAGAGAACTCTCCTTTTAAAATGAAGACGGCTTAGAAAAATGAGATTTTAAATAACTTACCTGCAACTTGTGCAAGAAATCGTAGGCACATCTGGTTTCCATCTGAGGCTACCATGTAGACGGGCCATAAATCTGAATGTGCTCTCCCGTGCTGGCCTGGAGGAACTGTTAACCCAGCCCAGCTCCCAGGAGCCAGCCAGTGGGCTTCTGAATCCCTCTGCTGGGCCGCCCCTCGCCCAGGCTGCTGAAAGGCCTGTGTGGAGTACAGTGGGAAGTTACGCTCAAGGTCAGCCATGACATTTTTATTACTTAAAGAAAGCAGTCTCTTCCCAAAAGACACTGCACCTCAGGGGCCAGGGGCCAGGCCACGGAGGGACTCTCTGCCTCTTTGTGGCTTTGGGCTCCTACCCTCGGGGTGTAAGGCAGGAGCTGTCCAGTCCAGTTCTGTGCTTGGGCAGAGCCCTGTGCATGCTGACCCTGCTTGGGTCAAGTCTGAATGCTACATGACCTCCCCTGCACTTCCCCCAGCGCCTGGCTGGTCTTCTGAGGTCAGCTGTCCAGCAGATGATGTGCAGAGGACCAGGCCATAGTCGCAGCTTGCATTTCCTGAGTAGCCAAGGATCTGAGCACATTTAAGTGGACACATGGCCATCCATGTGTCTTCCATGGTGATGAGTCTGGTCAAATCCTTTGTTCGTATTTAGACTATTTCAGGGTTTGCTTGTTTTATTATTATGGACTTTTGGGAATTCTTTTATATTTGAAGCATAAGCCTTTTTTTCAGAGACAAGATTCACCGATGCTTTCTCTCTGCCTGAGGCTTTTATTTTTAGTTCTGCAAGTCGGTGCTTTCTGACGACAATGTGTTCTTCATTTGGAGTTGGGTCGTGCTGATGCTGCTGTGTTCAGAGCGTCTGGGCCTAGCTCCGGTGCACAGAGTTTCCCTGTGACTTCTACCAGAATTGTATCTTGCATCCCATCTGTGATCCATTTTATCTCAATCTTTAGGCAGTACGAGGTATGGGTGGTACTTACCATCTTTACCTAAGGTTTCGGCTGTCCAGCACCAACGCTCTCTACACTGAGCTCCACTTCCTCTCTGTGGAGCAGTGGTTGGGCCAAGTTGGGAGTCTCCGCTGGGCCATGCCTTTGGTTCTAGAGATCAGTTCGCACACCCAGGGTCAAGGTGACCCTGTCTCACCTTCTCAGAGAGCTGTGAAATCCACGTGTGACTCTCCCTGTTGTGGTCAGCCTTTGGCTGCTGTAACCACAAGACCCTACAAGGACAATTTTAGAGGAGGAAAAGTGTATTGGGGGCTCACAGTTTCAGAGGTGTCCACAGAAGTCCAGCTCCCTTCCTCAGTGCTGGGTGAGGCAGGACATCATGGAAGAAGAGTGTGGTGGAGGACAGCTGGAGACAGGACACCAGGAAGCAGAGAGAGGACAGGGACAAATGCATGCCCAGAGGCCCAGCCCCAGTGAGCCACCTCCCCCAGCCCCACCTGCCCACCTTCAGCTAATCCCATCAGGGAGTCAGTGCAGTGATGGGATTGAGGCTGTCCTCACCCAACCTCTGAACCTTCTTGCACTTACAGATGAGCTTTTGGGGACACCTCACATCCGAACCCTAATGCTCCCCTTTGGCCGTCCCTCTTGAAACTTGTTCTGCTAAGCCAGACACTTTGAAATTCCAAGGGAACTTAAAGCCCTCTTCCAATTCCTGCGACAACCAATGCCCGGTGGCACTTGGTGGAGACTGTGCTGACCCTGGATGATGACGCAGGGAGAAGCCACCTCCCGACCACACGGAGACCTCAGAGCCAGGGCTCTGCAAGGTTTCCCACTCAATAGATCTTTGCTCATTTCTCAGGATTTAAATTCTAAGTGAGCAGGTCTTTCCAGTCTGCTGACAGAGCCACTCTGCATTGTGTCACAGTGATCATACTAAGTAGATGTCATCGCATGCCCAGTTTCAGCGTCTAATTTTCATTGCTAGTATGTAAGTTTTTACCCAATTTCTTTATCTTTACCTAAATCCCTCAACAGTTCCATGCTCATTATCTGCTACAATCACATCCCTGAGGCCTGTAGGATTTTCTGGAGGTAACGTCCATTGGCAAGTCAAGCCATCCTCCTCCTCACCTTGAGCAGGGGCCAGGCTCTCCCTGCAGCTGTGTGAACGGGACGAGGACCCGCCCCTTTCCCTCCGGAGCCTAGGACAGTGGTCAGCATGGCCCTTGAAGATCATCAGCTGGGCCTCAGATGGATGCCTATATCCAACAGAGGAGGTTCTGTTTCCCTGGCCTAGCCTGTGTGTGTGAGGAGGCGATGGACGCTAGCTGCTGTCCCGCGCTCTCTGCCTGCCCTGAAGATGATCAGATGGGTCTCCTTTCCAGATCCCATTCCCAAGGCGCTGCCTGGAGCCCTGGGAAACAGGCTTCCCTCCTGGTGGACCCCACGGGCCCCTCTTCTCCTCACGTCTTGTCGGGAGACTGTAGGCCTCCTGCTGGCATCTTAGTGACACCTGCAGCTCCTTCCTGCGGTGGCTTTGGCTTCAGGGCCATGCTGGCCTGGGGCGCCTGGGGAGTCGGCCTGCTCCTCTGGCCTCCCGGGAGCGTCTCTCCCCTCCTGCCCGGCTGCCTTCCCCAGGGATGCCATCTGCCTGGCATGTTCTTCCAAGGAAGGTTTAGGTGCAACTTCAGCTTGTTCATGGATCCTCCATTCCTGGGGACCCGGTGGTGTCGCTCCTGGGGACCCGCTGGTGTCGCTCCTGGGGACCTGGTGGTGTCCCTCCTGGGGACCTGGTGGTGTCACTCCTGGGGACTTGGTGGTTCACTCCTGGGGACCCGGTGGTGTCCCACCTGGGGACCTAGTATTGTCTCTACTGGGGACCTGATGGGTTGCTCCTGGGGACCTGGTATTGTCTCTACTGGGGACCCAGTGGTGTCCCTTCTGGGGACCTGGTGGTGTCGCTCCTGGGGACCTGGTGGGTC